TGGGCAAGCAACTTGCTTGTTCTTGTAGTAATCAGTCGGACTGCCTATATTGTTCTGTATTTTTCCTGTCGGTCTTTCTTTCAAGAAGTATCTTCTGTTCTTCTAGCCACTCCAGGCTGGTCTGCATGTCCTTTCAAGTGGAAATTTCCCATCTCTGAAGATTCTGGATGCTGTTCAGGATTCCACCTATGGTCTTATGTAATGCAGAGGCTCCACAGGAAGCCTCCTTCACTGGGCACGTTGTAGCCCCATTTTAGGTATTCCAATCAGTTATAGACGGAAGATGGACTTACAAGCTTTCTATGGCGATATTTCTGGTTATTCCTTTCTCGGATATTTGAGGAATATAATCTCATGGTACAAAAGGTGAATGCGCTCAGCTGCTAACTGAAAGAATGGCTGTTCGCATCTATCCAGTGGCACCTCGGAATAAAGGCCAGGTTCCTGAAAAGCCTAAGGGCACAGTTCTGCTCTGACACATGCGAGACGGAATCAACTCAACAGCAGCTGACTAGTAGGTCTCCCTCATTCACACACATACCTACTGCCATCAAGTCCATTCTGATGCTTCGTGATCCTATGGAGGGTTTCTGAGACTGAGTTCTCACAGGATCAGACAGTCTCTATTTCCTGCAGAGCGTCTGGTGCTTCTGAACCTGGGACCTCACGTTAGCAGCCCGATCCACAGTGCACGAGGGCTCCTCCATTCATACGCAGGCACTGTGTAGACATCTGGGATACCCTTTGAACATCCCATCATAGCAGACCTTCTGATTCCAGCCCCCAGGACACTGCCCCCTCCCTAGGACACTGATGCCCAACCCCCTACCATCTGAGAGTCCCCAAAGCCAGGGTCCATCACAAACCCTTTTCCCACCCCCAGCTGGTGGCCGTGGTCATGGATGTATTCACTGACCCCGACCTGCTTTGGGACCTGGTGGACGCTGCGACGCGCCGCCGTGTACCTGTCTACCTGCTCCTGGACTGCCAGCATCTGCCTGCCTTCCTGGCTCTGGCCCAACAGCTGGGGCTGAACCCCAGGGCCACTGAGGTAGGGACTGACCGGTGTCCTTGTCCATGGGGCTGGGGGAAGTGGGGAGAGAGGGATAGCAGCAGAACCTTCCACAGGGTCCCGGGTCATAGATGCCAACTGAGAGGATGCCTACAATCAGATGCCATGGGGGCAAATGAGGGTGCACCTTTCCATGGGATTCCCATCCACCACATTGCGGTGCTCCCAGCAGACCCCTGAAGTCTGATTGGCAGGGTGTTGGAGAAACTGGGGGAGACCCGTTTAGGGAGTCATAGGCCACCTAGGTGTGGCATTGTAGGGTAAGCACTGGACTAGAAAGTTGGTTTGAACCACAAGGCCTGCAGTTCAAATTCACCAGCTCCTCCTCAGAAACCCCATACAAGGTCGCTATGAGTCGGAACTGACTCAATGACACTATATAACAGTAACAAGGCCTCCCAGGTGGGACCATAGTGGAGTGGCACTGAGTGGGGAGTTTGGCATGGGTCTGAGTAAGTACTTTACCTCCCCTCCCAGAACCTGGATGTCCGCATCGTGCGGGGCTGCAGCTTCCAGAGCCGCTGGAGGAGGCAGGTGAGAGGCCATGTGAGGGAGAAGTTTGTGCTTTTGGATGGTGATAGAGTCATCTCAGGATCCTACAGGTATGACTCCTGCTACCCACCCTCCTACCCCACGCCTCACCCTGGGCGCTACCACCCTCCTTGGCCTGCATCCTATCCCCAACTTACTCTCAGTGTGCTCAGATTGTCCTTCGCATCCCTTTTCCAGACCTCTGTTTTCTCATTTGGGAAATGGGTTCAAAACACCCTTCCTCTTCTGCAAAGCGGCCGTGGCTGGAGGTGGAATGGGAACTGGGGGCGGGGTCTGGTCCTGCTGTGGCCTTGGGTTAGTCCTTACCTCCCTGATATCCCCACGTTGCCTCTTTTGGAAAATTGGGCCTGCAGTTTGTGTAGGGAGTGTTTCAAAACCAGGAGGACTGAGTTTGAGAGTTATCTGTGCCTTCTGGAAGTGACTCCACTTGTCTCAGCAGCTGTAAATGGCTTCTGAGCCTCCTCTCCTTTCTCTGGGGTCTGACTGATCTGTTCAATCCTGGCTCAGCCTCTTCTGATTTCTAGCTCTGTCATTGACCCTGACCCATTCTGAACCTCAGTTTCCTCATCTGGAAAGTGTAGGTGGTCACAGCACAGGGTTAGGCTATGGGCTCTGGAATCCAGATGGCTGGAGTTCAAATCTCAGTTCTGCCCGTTACTGATAGTGGTATGAGTTTGAGCAAGTTGCTTTGCTTCTTTGTGCCTCAGTTTCCTCTTCCAGAGACTGGATGATAGGATTATTTTGCCTCTGGCATAGGGATTCTCAACATATTCAAATGGATGATTCTTTGCTGTGGTGGGGGCTGTCCTGTGCCTTATAGTATGTGGAGTATCATCCCTGGAACTCTACCCACTAGATATCACTAGCACCCCACATCACAGCAACCAAAATATCGCCCCATATCACAGCAACCGAAAATGTCTGCACACATGGCCAGATCCTCCTGAGGAATTGCTGCTTCTAGAACCAAAGAAAAAACCAAACCTATTCTGAATTTCGAATGCTGCACCTGACCTTCATTTCTTTCTAGTTTTAACCAATTCAAGAACCTTACAGAAGACTTTAGCTCTATAGCAGACTTTCTCATCATTTACATTGAAGAAGCACGTGCAACAGATGGCTGGGCTTTTAAGAACAATGTGGCCATCAGGAATCACCAGAACCTCCAGGTCCACCTGCAGGCAGCTCACCTGCTTCTGGACAGAAGCCCCAAATGCCCTGTGGTGGTGGACACGATGTAGAACGTGAGTAGCCAGCTCCACGCGGCACTCTACTACGTAAGAGATCCAGGAAGGCAGGATCCTTTCCAAGGCTAAGCCTGGCCCTTGGAACTGCCATCCAGAGGAAGTGCTTACTGTTCTGGAAAAGCTCAACAGTTCATCTGGAAATCAGTTTTACGTGGCCAACAGAAGGACTCCTCAAGGTGTGACTCTCCTTCACCCCAGCTAACTGGCACCTCTTGGTCTGTGTTACCAGCCAAATCACTAGCTCAGTAAACGACTCCCAACTATGGTGTACAGGTGATAGCATTCAGTCAGGACTGAGGTTTTTATAATCAGAAAATTAATTGGTACTTGAGTTCAGGTCACTTCAAGAATGTACCACTGTACTCTTCTCCCCTGTGCAGACCACAGCCATTGCTCGATGTCTTAGAGTGAGGGTGCAGTCGTACTGAATGGATGTACCCCTGAGGGGTGTTCGCTCTCTCTCCAATGAGTCTGATACTAAGTGGGTAAATATGGCGTCTTTTAGATTAGGTAAACAAATTTGGCATTTATAGAATTGATAACTAAAGACTATAAACTGGTTTGTAGAACTTATCATGGGAAAAACTCCAGTTGTTTAAGGAGAGATGAGGAACTGGGAGAGGAGGAAATAGGAATGGGAGAAGACAGTAGAGAAGGTAAATCCTTTCACTTCTGAAAGATTTAAACCAGTTAGTGGCCATGGCAGTAATGTAAATGCCCAGGTGATTTAAATGCCCAATGCATCTCCAATTCCATCAAGGAAGGAAAAGGTTTCACCAGGCTTAAAACTATTTCAGAGAAATCAGACTCTCTTTATACTCTGAAATCCTCCATAAGTCTCACTTACGAATGAACTCGCTTAGAGGGGAGGGGAGATTTCCCCAAATCATTATGGTGGTGGTGGTGGTGGTGGTGGTGTGCCGTGGAGTCGGTTCCAACCCATAACAACCCTGTACAGGATTTCTGAGGCTGTAAATCTTTACAGGAGCAGAAAGCCTCATCTTTCTCCTGCGGAACAGCTGGTAGTTTCAAACTGTGATCCTGAGATTAGCAGCCAGACTCGTAACCAGTACACTATCAGATATATTATAACCTTGACTAAATAAGGCAAGCAGGCAAAACTTGTCATTTAGTTATGCAGTAGCTCATAATTTAGAGTTTTGTTTCTCTAATTTCTTTGCAAGTCTCCTATGGTCATGTGTGCTAAATGACATCACACATTAATGAATAACCATCGGTATTCATGGTATTCATCTGTTTTAATTCTGCCTCCTTTCATACATTTATGATGGCCACAGCCTAAAGTACACAACAGCTGTGACTCAAAGAAAAAATATTTTAAGATGCAGCAAGCTAATACAGGATGATTAAAATATATCAGGTTATTTTGGAGGCAAAAAAATAAAGCCATGCCTCTTGCCAGTGAGTCTAATCTGACTCATTTTTACCCCATGGGGCAGAGGAGAACTGCCCCTTAGGGTAACATCTTTACAGGAGCAGAATGTCAGGCAAAGGGAGGGTGAGTTCAAACTGCTGACTTTTTACTTGACATCTCAGCGCAAAGTATTTGCACCGTCCAGGGACCTAGCTCTAGATCAGTGGTCTTCTAGTTGTGAGGAACTGTGAAAACCCAGGTTCTAGGCCCCAGCCCTAAAGTTCCCAGAGTCAGCGGTTGTTGGTTGTAGAGTCAGTTCATACTCGTGCTGACCCTTTGTGCAGAATAGAACTGTGTTCTCTAGAGGTTTTTTAAGGTTATGACCTTTCGGAATCAGATGGCCAGGCTGTCTTGTGAGGCTTAAATTTCCAATTTTGGTTAGTGGCCTAGCATGTTAACTGTTAGAACTTTTTGGCTGGTAGTCAAGTGCTTAACCATAAGGACCACCCAGGAACTTCCCAAGCAGTTAAACTCTCCCAGCGAATCTGCTGGGGAAAGATGAGGCAGTCAGTCGGCTTCTGTAAGGATTACAACCCTGATCAACCCTGTCCTTTATCTAGGGTGGTTATGAGTTGGGAAATAAATCAATTCAGTGGCAATGGGTTATTTCTTTCCTAAAAATCAGAAAGACTGAGGCACATAGAGGAGAAACAGACCTGGTTCCCTGCGTTCAAAACACTCCTGCTCTGGTTGGAGAAAGGAGTCCTGGGTGGTGCAGCCGTTAAACACTTGCTGCTAAAACAAAGGCCGGTGGTTCAAACCCACCAGCCGCATCACAGGAGAAAGAAGAGACAGGCTGCTCCTGTAAAGATTGTTGTTGTTGTTGTTAAGTGCCCTCAAGTCGGTTCTGACTCATAGCGACCCTGTATTGGGTTTCCGAGGAGCAGCTGGTGGGTTTGAACCACCAACCTTGTGTTTCAAACAGACCTTGTGGTCCAGTGCTTAACCTACAGTGCCACACCAGGACTCCTTGTTAAGATTGCTGCCGTTGTTAAATGTTGTAGAGTCAGTTCTGGCTCATAGTAACCCTGTATGAGGTTTCCAAGCAGTGACTGGTAGGTTTGAACTGCTGACCTTGAGGCTCAATCTGACCTTGCACTTCAGCTCATTATCCTGCAGTGCCACACCCATAAAGATTACAGCCTAGGAATTCTTTGAAGTAGTTCTCCTCCGTCCTAGGGTCACTGTGAGTTGGAATTGACTTTCCAGCAATAGATTTGGGGGTCTTTGGGTTTTAGAGACATCAGCTGTCAGATGTGGCTGGAGGATTTACATTTCAAGCAAGTTCCTAATGGATTCTGAAATAAGAAGCCCAGGGTAGAGACTGGACGGCTGTGAGTGGCCATGAGGAAGACCAAAATCAACTGGAAGGCGACTAACAATGACAGCAATAATAATAAGGCTCAAGAGTAAAGGACTCAGATCCTGGTCACCTGGCCCCTAACGTAACCAGGGTTCCATCAACATCTGCTATCCTTTATTCTCTGTACCGTATTTCATCAACTCTAGCTCTGGTAGCGTAGTGGTTACGAGTCGGGCTGCCAACCTTAAGGTCAGCAGTTCGAAACTACCAGCGGTTCCGCGGGAGAAAGATGAGCCATTCTGCTCCCATAAAGATTTACAGCCTCGGAAACCCTGTACAGGGTCACTATGAGTTGGAACCGACTCCACGGTGCTTAACAACAACAACAACAATGGAGAGGCCTCACTGAGGTTCAAATGTAAAAAGAGGCACATCCTAAAACCAATGAAACATGTCAGCACTGACTCTATGGGGTAGCACATCAGGCCTAATGGGACTTTTCCTGGCGGACAGCCCCAGAATGCACCAAGCCAGTGCAACAAAGAGGTTATCCAGGGCCTCTGGCCATTTAATGGGGGGACAAAACCGAAACAGGGGGCGTGGGCATGGAGTGGAAATGCTGGACAGTCAGGCCCCGGCCCCATCCCCACCCCCCACTAGTGGTCACAGTGACTATTGGAATAGCAGTAACCAGCCCAGCGCCAGGCCGGTGATGGCTTCAGCCGTCCGGGTGTCCGTGGTCAGGGAGGCTGCGTTGCATAGGTCGCCGTCACAGCAGGTGGTGATGAGGCTGTAGGTGACACCCATGTAGCTGACGGGCTGCTCGTGGCCGCAGTTGGTGTTGCGCAGACAGCCTTTGTTGGTGATGGGGCCCAGGTCTGGAGCCACCCCGAAGCCCGTGAAACAGTCCTCCTCGTCCCCACAGCTCATGCGTGTGCTGGCACAATGCTGGGAGTCGGTCAGCTCACAGAAGAAGCAGTCCTTGATGCTCCTCGTGCCTGGGGGCAGCGCCAGCAGCAGCAGCAACAGCCAGCCGAGGACCATGGCGGCCTGGCCGCTCAGATGGTGCCCGAGCCAGGCCAGGGCCTTCCTGGGCCTCCCGGGACAGCACACACACACACACAGGGTCAGTACTTGGCAGGTCCTTGGCTCTTGACTCTCAGTGTCCCTCTCGACAGTTCTGTTGTGATTCTGCTCTCAGGTGTACCCGGGTCAGGAGGCAAGCCAGTGTGGCTGCTGCCCAACCAAGGTCTTTATGAAGCAGAATGTGGTGACTTCATAGAACCCTCGGGGTTCCCACTGGCTGCTCTGAGGTCTAGGTGGGGGAGGGGAGGGGTCACAGTCCGAGGGGTGAGGGGGAGCCTTGCTTGTCGATGTTCTAGGAGGCAAGAACACCACCAGCATCCCACCAATGTTAGGGTGCCCTGGGCTGTGGGCTGGCTGCCCTGCTGGGCTTAAGCCCCACCCAGTAACCAATGACCCGGTCTTCACTAAGTCTGACCTGATTCTCAGTCATCTAATATGTGTCTTCCACAGGGTTTCCCATGGCTGAGTTTTCAGACATGGCTCACCAGATAGGCACCTCTATGCGGACTCGAACTGACCGCCTTTCAGTTAGTGGCATCACTAGGGGAATCCATCCTGCCCTATTGGGCACCATCAAGTCAATTCAGACTCACAGCGACCCTATAGGACAGGATAGAACTGCCCCATAGGGTTTCCAAGGATATAAATATGGACAGAAGTAGATGATGGCCAGGTCTTTACCCTGTGGAGACACTGGGTGGGTTTGAACTGCTAGCTTTTTGTTTGCACTTACTGTTGCACTGATAGGGCTTAACCCTTGCGCCACCCAGGGCTCCTTCCATCTATCCTGTCCTGGAGATTGACAAGCTGTAACTCAGGAAGAAGGAGGGGATCTGTCCAAGGCCCAGGTTTTACTGAATTCCAAGGAAGGCCAAGAGAAGGTGTTTACTGAATACCTGCTGTGTGCTTTAGGAGTCTTGGTGGCACAGTGGGCTAAGCATTGAGCTACTAACTACAAGGTTTGAGTTCAAAGCCATCAGCTGCTCTGTGGGAGAAAGATGAGACTATTTACTCCCATAAAGAGGTATAGCCTTGGAACCTCTAAGGAGCAGTTCCACTTTGTCCTATAGGGGTCGCTATGAGTCCGAATCCACTTAATAGCAGTGGGTTATTTTGGTTTGGTTTATATGAGTGGGTGGTTCCACTAATTTGCCTGTGATTGCTAATCACAGCAGACAGGGGTCAAGTGGGACTTCTAGACCGAGACAGACTAGAAAAGCCTGGCTTTGGTAAAGATTGTTGTTAAGTGCTGTGGAGTTGGTTCCAACACATAGAGACCTTGTCTAGGGTTTCAGAGGCTGTACATTTTTGTGGGAGCAGAAAGCCTCATCTTTCTCCTGCAGAGTGGTTGGTAGGTTCGAACCGCCAACTTTGTAGTTTGCAGTCCAGTGTGATCCTACAGAGCCATCATACTCTCATCAGTAAAGATGATCGTCCTACAGAGCATCATTCTTTTCTGTGATACATAGGGGCGCCATGAGTTGGAATAAACTCCATGGTTACAGGTTTGCGTTGCTTTACGGTATGCCAAGCTCTGCTATCACTCAGACTCAGGTAATAATAGAGACGCAACCTCTTACAGGTTCTTAAGATTTACCGTGAGCTGGGTCTATTACCCCAATTTCCCCTCATTTGAATCTTCCTGTTTTTTGCCTAATGTGCACGACTGGGCAGTGTTTCATTCACTATGAGTCAGAACAGACTCATCATCATCATCAACAACACGTTTCAGTGCCTTATACAGAGGAGGAAATTGAGGGATAGGACAGATACTCCCAGAACTTGCAGCAAACATTTAATAAAGGGCATTCTGTCTGATCTTAAAACAACTGCTGAGTCTTAAACCAGTCACTGTGGGTGTCAAAAAAAACATGTATTAGGCAGACCTGCTGCACAAGACCTCTTTAAAATGTTCAAGAGCAAAGACGTCACTTTGAGGACTAAGGTGTGCCTGACCCAAGCCATGGTATTTTAATTCGCCTCATATGCATGTGAAAGTTGGACAATGAATAAGGAAGACCCTAGAAGAATCTATACATTTGAATGATGGTGTTGGCGAGCAATATTGAAAGTGCCATGGACTATGAAAAGAACAAACGAATCTGTCTAGGAAGAAATACAGCTAGAATGCTTCTTGGACATGTTGTCAGGAGGGACCGGTCTCTGGAGGAAGACATCATGCTTGGAAAAGTGGAGGGCCAGCAAAAAAGAGGAAAATTCTCAACAAGGTGGATTGACACATGGCAGCAAAAATGGGCACAAACGTAACAGCAGTTGCGAGGATGGTGCAGGACTGGGCAGTGTTTTGTTGTGTTGTGTACAGGGTGGCTATGTGTCGGAACCCACTCGACTGCATTCAACAACATGTTTCGGCTCCATATTACAAATAAGAAAATTGAGACTCGGGGTAGGCACACCCAGGACTTGGTATCCTGCAAATGCTCTGTGTTAAATGGCAGTCTACTGAGTCTTGTAACAGTCCGTGTGGGTATCAGAAAGCAGAAGTTGTTGGTTGTGAGTTATTAGTTGTTGCCCAGTTGGTTCTGACTCCCAGCGAACGTCACATTGTCCAGGCCCACAGCATCCTGGCCTGTTCACTGGCATGTTCCAAGCAGATCGTTTCCAGTCCACCTCACTAAAGGTCTCCCTCGCCTTCACCAAGCATAATATTCCCCTCCTGATGATGTGTCCAAAGCAAGAGAGTCAGACAACAATCCATTGTGACACATAGGACTTGCATTCTTTTTTTTTCTTTTTTTTTCTTATTTTCTAGGGGGTTGGTGAGTAGGAGTAAGGAGTTAGGGTTAGGACTATGGTTAGGTCTAAGTTAGGTTTAGGGTTGTGTGTAGCGCTAGGGCTATGGTTAGGACAAGGGTTACGGGTTTGTCTAGGGCTAGAAATAGTCTGGAGCTCTGGTAGTGTAGTGGTTACGAATTGGGCTGTGAACCGCAAGGTCAGCAGTTCAAAAACTACCAGCTGTTCTGCGGGAGAAAGATGAGCTTTCTGCTCCCACAGCCTTGGAAACCCAGTACAGGGTCACTATGAGTCAGAAGTGACTCTATGGCACATAACCATCACCAGAAGATTTAGGGTTACAGTTAGGTTTATTTTTATTTATTTCTTGATATCTTGATTTCCTCGTCATTTGGGAGTACAATAGCAACACTCTTCCCTCTTTTTGTGTTTGTTGTTTCGTTGTTGTTGCAAACTGACAACTCTTGTTCCCTGTCTTCATACCTGTAGATTTGCTTTATGTTGTATGTGTCTGCATCTGGGTTAGGAGACCTGGTAGCATAGTGGGTTAGACTTTGGACTGTTAACCATAAGACCAGCAGTTCGAATCTACCAGCCACTCCATGGGAGACTAAGGAATTTTTCTGCTCCCATAAAAATTCACAGCCTACAGAATCTTATACATGGTCACTATGAACCAGAACCGATTCGATGGCACACAATGTCTGGGTTGCGTTCTAGATGATATTGTTGTGTTTGTGAGTCTCAGATGGTTATCTGCTGTTGTTGGTTCGCTATCCAAAGAATTCCTTTAGTATTTTCCCCCCACAATATTAGGTTTATTAAGCAAATAACAGGTTACAATTTAGGACCAGAAATGACTCAGGATCCGGGCAGCCTCTTCTCAGCTCTGCCTGCAAACATGCCTTTCTCTGGTACTTGGTCCCTGCTCTTTCAGGGCAAGTGTTACAAAGCTTTTAGCTCGGCTGATAAGTACCCATTCAGTCTTGGCTTGAAAGGTCCCTTAGTTCAGCTCATTGGGCTGGAAACCTATGTCCATCAAGTGTTCACTCCATTCCACCATCAAGTCCCTGCCTGAAGGCACCCAGCTTTCTTGCTTCAAGGCCCAGGAAGCCCACCTCTCTGTGCTGGTGTCTGGTACCACTGCCTCAGTTGCTGCCATTTCTCTGTCATTGCTTGTCACCACCTTCAGTGTCCCAGCAATCCGTCTCCAGAATCATAGACTTCTCAGGGCAGGGATCCTGAGTCCAAAGCTCCAAAGGCGTGCTCCCTGGTGACTCTTTTTTTTAATGTTTTATTGTGGATTGTGTGATAGTTTACATGGGAGAACATTAGTTTTACATTCATCCTATCTTATATCGTTTCATTGCCATGGTTACAATCCCCTTCATGCATCATCAACCAACCAAAGGGTATACACTACAAGCCTGCTCCCCGGTCGTCACCACACAGCCCCTCTCCCTCTCTGGGTATAGAGTCCCCAGCCACTCTCTCTCTCCACGTCATCGTCTCTGCCTCCATCTCAGGCATCACTGCTTCTCTGGGTAGGGTCCCGCTCTCCGCTCTTCTCCCTTGATGGTCCCAGGGACCTCTGGACCTCCGCTCTTAGGCTGAAAAGTTAATCACTCCCCTCCTTGCTAAACAATGTCTACCTTTACAATTCCAACCCTCACAAGAAGTCCAGATAACAATTATTCACTATTGTATCACAAGAGATCCATCCGGATTTCATTTCATCAGCCCCGCCTAGACAGTTTGTATACTACTCAGTGGAGATTCTACCTTCCTCCATGCCCTATGAATCTAAGCTCCCTCTTAAAAGCTTGTCACTTCTTGCCTTTGTAGCCCCACCCCACCCCCCATTCTATAGGGTTTTCGAGGCTGTGCTCTTCTGAAGTAGATCACCAGGTTTGCCTTTTGAGGCACCTCCAGGTGGGTTCAATCCACCCAACTTTGGACTAGCAGTCTAGAGCCTAAAGTTCCCCACATTGGGAACAGGGGCAAGTCCAGGTTGAAACCCAGGTCTGATTCCAGATGATAATTTAAATATCTGTTAAGGCACGTTATCCACACAGCTATCTTCTGGGGTCAGTACCATGATTGTTCCCATTCTGCAGAGAGGAAGACTGAGGCCGGAAAAGTTGTGGGCCTTGCTCTAGGTCACACAGTCTGTCCTGGGACCATGCTGGGGACCGGGCTGAGGGTCAGGCTGGGACTGTGTGGAGATGCTGACCTGCCCCCTTGATGTCCCCAGCTTCACATGGAGCGATGCCCGCCTACATCGTGGTCTGGTCACCCTGCTGACTGGCGAGATCACCGACGCCTTTAGCCAGGAGTTCCGAACTCTGTACGCCGCCTCCTGGCCACTCCCACCTGCGTCCCCCACAAATTCCTTCATTAGCACCCTGGGCGGGGTGCATCTGGGCCGGAGCCCCCACCGAGTGGTCCGCCGCTGCTCTGTGGCCCCCGTCTCACCTCCACCCGATGACCCACTGGCTCGCCGCCTGGCTGCTTGCCACGTCTTGGATGGGGGGGACAGGCGGGAGCCCCCCACCACTCCGGGGCCTGCACTCAGCGACATTCTAAGGAGCATGCAGCGTGCCCGGACCCCCAGTGGCCCCCCAGCCCGACCCAGTCGTTCACTGTGGGACCTGAGCCACCTGTCCCAGCTGTCAGAATCCAGTGAAGGAGACGAGGTGAGTGACGCCCAGAGAGGGGAAGACACTTGTTCAAAGCCACACAGCTGTGTGGTCCTCATACTAAAATACTTAGAGCAGAAAGGAACCCTGGCACTGCAGTGGGTTAAGCATTGGGCTGACAGGTTGGCGGTTTGAGGAAGAAAGATGAGGCGGTCTGGTACTGTAAAGATTATGCCTCGGAAAGCCCGTGGACAGAGCTACTCTGTCTTATAGGCTTACCATGAATGCTGCTTCAGTGGTGTTGGTTTTGGGTTTTTTAATGTGTCAAAGGAGGCCTGGTGGTGCATTGGTTAAGCGCTCTGCTGCTAAATGGAAGGCTTGTGGTTTGAACCTACCAGCCACTCTGAAGGAGAAAGATTTAAAGCTTCAGAAGCTCTAAGGAGCAGCTAGTTCCGCTCAGTCCTAGACGGTCGCTGTGAGTCGGAAACGACTCCATAGTAGTATACATATATTTTTTTAACTGGTGGTACAGTGATTAAGTGCTTGGCTGTTAACTGAAACCTGGCAGTTCAAACCCACCAAGTGGCTCTGTGGGAAAAAGACCTAAAAATCTGCTCCCTGAGGATTTCCAGCCTTGGAAATCCTAAGGGGGCAGTTCTGCTTTGCTATAGGGTCGCTGTGAGTCAGGATGGACTGGAAGGCAGTGGGTCTTAGTGGGTGCCTGGTTGCAGGGAGGTGAGGAATTGACCCCTCTTCTATAGACAGAAAAACAAAGTCACTCACCCACTCACCTGAGTTTATAATTGAACCCTCTTTTACCGAGAACCCTCACCCTGAGAACCCTGAGGGTAGTGTGTGGTATGATACCCTCAGAGCAGGCCACGCGCTTTCTCTGAGACTCTGGGAAATGGGTTGAGTTGTCATCTTCGTTTTTTTGGACTGGGAACAGGGGTCAGTAAGGCTTCAAATCCCAAACCCCCTGCTGTCAAATCAATTCTGACCCATAGTGACCCTATAGGACACGGTACAATGATTCCTTAGAGTTTTTGAGGCTGTAACTCTTTATGGGAACAGCTGATGGTTTGGAACCACCAATTTTGAGGTTAGCAAACCAGTGCCTAACCCACAATGCCTCCAGGGCTCCTCTGGCTGCCTCCCAAGCAGGTCTTTTAAATGCCTTGTTCATGGACTTCCCAGATTGGAAGAATGCAGTGATGGTGGTAGGGTTAGGGTTAGGGGGAAGAAGACTGCGAACTCAGAGCAGTCTCCAGGGGGAACCCACGCAGGTGACGTTTTCTCTCCGAGCTTCAGTGTCTTCAGCTGTGAAGTGGACTGTTGAGAGGGTAGCATCAGGGCCATGGGTGTGTGTGGGGGAACAGCAGACAGCCTGTGTCCCTTCTCAGTTTGTTTCCCCAGCTGCTAAGTGGGAGCCAGAGGTCTCTCTCAGAGGTGAGGGAGATCTGTCCAAGGAACCTCAGTCAGGGCAGGAAGCTGAGAGGGTGGGGGCAAAGGCAAGGGCAAGGTCCTGCCTCTACCTGGTCCCCAGCTGCCCTCACCCATATCACCTCCCTTTGCAAATATTTGCTCCCCCCAAACAGCTACTTCCTGGTCCTCTTAGCTACAGAGCCTCCTGGAGAGGATCCAGCTCCTCACCCCCTCTGTGGATCTGGAGGTCCTCACTTCCCTCCTGAGCCTGGAGGTTCAGGGGTCTTCCCATCTCAGAGTTCTGTAGCCCCCTTCCTTCCTTCTTCTCTTCCCTCTTCTGTTATCTCCTGCTGTCCTTTCTCATCTCCTCCTCCTCCATCCCTCTCTCCTTGCTCACCTTCCTCTCTTCTCCCCTGCTTCCTCACTCACTGTCCCTTGTTCCACCTCATACCTCCCATGGCTCCTCCATCTTTGACTTCTCTCTCCTCCTTCCCTCCTTACCTTCCCTGACTCAGGTCCCTCACCTCCTCTCATCTCCCTCTTTCCTTCCACAGCTCAAGAAATCCTGGGGCTCCAAAGATACCCCAGCCAAGGCCCTGATGAGGCAGCGGGGTGCTGGAGGAGGTCCCTGGGGTGAAGTGGACCCCCGCCCACCAGCCCTACCACTGATACCTGGCCACCATCTCCGATACCTGTCCCCAACACGAAGGAGGTTTGGTGAGGATATATCATCCCAAATCTTAGACCCTAGAAGACTCAGGCAGCCAGACTGGGCCACCAGGGCAGGGTTCAGGGGACGACCTTGACCAGAACCCAAAATAGGCAAACCCAAAGTTGTGTGTCCACCTAAAACTCCTGCCTGGCTGCCTGCTTTGGACAAAATTCTAGCCTCAGGATCTGGAAAACTGGAAGAGATTTTTAAAAAACATTTTATTGTTAGTTAGGTGAAAGTTTATACAACAAATTAGTTTCCAGCCACAGTTGATGCACAAATTGTTCTGTGATCTTGGTCTCTGTCCCCAGCATGTCAGAGTCTCCCCTTTTCCACTCCACCATCCCTACTCTGTCCCGCCAGTCTCCCTGCCCCTCCTTGCTTTCTCATCTTTGTTTTAAGGGCAAATACCGCCTGTTTGGTCTCATATAGTTGATTATTCTAAGGAACACATTCCTTATGGTGTTATTGTTTGTTTTATAAGCCAATCTATTATTTGGCTGAAAAGTGATCTCTGGGAGTGGCCTCAGTTCCAGATTAAAAGGGTTTCTTCAGGGGTTCCCGTCTTTACTCATCAATCCAGTAAATCTGGTCTTTTTTTTTTTTTGAGTTTTGTTCTACATTTTTATCAGATTTAAAAAAAACCTTGTTCTAGTCCCTGAATGAGCATGGTGGCTCCATATGATAAGCACTGGACTGTGAACCTCAGGTTCTGCAGTTTGAGCCCACCAGCAAGAGAAAGACAAGGCTTTCTGCTCCCTTGAAGATGTAAAGCTTTGGAAACCCTCTACAGGGTCGCTATGAGTTAGAACCAACTCAGTGGCACTTAACAACAATGGCAGTTCCTGGATGGTGTAAACAGCACATTTCACTGCTAACCAAAGGCTGTTGGGTGGAGTCTGCCTAGAGGTGATGTGGAAGAAAGGACTGGCAATCCATTTCCCCCCCAAACGCCACTGAAAACCCAGTAGAACACAGTTCTACTTTGACGCACATGGGGTTGACATGAATCAAAGTTGGCAACTGGCCAAACTTGAGCCAACCCAGAGTGTGCAGTCTAAACCTCAACACTGCAATCTAGGAAATGGGTAGAAACTATTGACTGAACTATGGATTCTAAAAGAAAGTGCACTATGTCGTCATTAGGAATAGCTAATTATGTAAATCCTCCCTTCTGCCTCGGACCATACAGAATCCTTGTTAGATGCCACTGACTCATAGCAAATCAGAATGAAACAGTGCCTGGCTTATGTCATCGACATAATTGTTATGTGTGAACCCATTGTTGTCTCCACTGTTATCAATCCACCTAGTTGGGGGTCTTCCTCTTTTTTGCGGACCCTCCACTTTACAAAGCATGATGTCCTTCTCCAGGGACTGATCCCTCCTGATAACATGTCCAAAGCCATCCTGGCTTCTAAGAAACCTTCTGGCTGTACTTCTTCCAAGACAGATATGTTTGTTCTTCTGGCAGTCCCTATTGTTGTGTGCCATTGAACCTGTTCGAACTCATTGACCCTTTCAATATTCTTCACCAATAGCATAATTCAAACGCATCAATTCTTCTCTGGTCTTCCTTATTCATGGTCCAACTTTCACATGCATATGGCTTGGGTCAGGTGCACCTTAATCTTCAAAGTGACACCTTTGTACTTTTAACACTTTAAAGAGATATTTTTTGCAGCAGATTTGCTGCTTTCATTGTGGAGCCAAGCAAAATGAAGTCTTTAGAAATGTTTATTACAATTCAATCATAAAATATGTGATATAATTGTAAATTGCTTAAATGTAATAACTTTTCGATTATATGAATACTACCAAAGTTTTTTTGCAAAACCTTTCTACATTGAATTACCACATTGTTAGTAACTAAGTTATTGTTGTTGTAAGTGCCATCAAGTCAGTTTTGACCCATAGCGACCCTGTATAGGGTTTCCGAGGAGCAGCTGGTGAGCTTGAACCGCCAACTTTTCTATTTAAACCAACTTTACAATCCAGCGCAGTAACTCACAGCACCACACCAGGACTCCAGTAGCAAAACCTTTTTTTTGACTTTTCTCCTTTTCTTTTCATTACTACTTTATTCTCAGAAATATTGATAAAGGTTCACACATAGGAATCACCACAGTATTGTAGCTAAAAGACCAGATAATTTAATCAGCTACTATAAAAACAGCAGGAGGAGTAACAGTACGTGGAGGTAGTGTGTGCAGGTGAAACTACTTGATGCGAAGTGTCATTGTAACTGGGTAATGATAACTCTGACCCAAGACACGCATTAGAAAGTTAAAAAAGTAGAATTTTAGCCTTTTTAGGTATGCTGATACATGTAAGCTAGGCTTACGAAACATTTTTATTGTTGTAACTAACTTCAGGGATGTTTATTAAAAAAATAATAAATTTCTGTTGGAACACTGCACAAAAATTTTAGAGACAATCATTTTGTTATCAACCCTTCTGCCACCCAGTGCAATCTGCAGTCCCCACCCTTTCCAACTCCCTAGTTACATCACTGCACTGAATTCTGGGCCTAGGTGTGACCAGAGTGGCTGAGTGACCCCATGTTGGAATTGTTTGGGGTGAAGAAGGGGTTCTGGAACAAACCGGGAGATGGAGGAGTTGAAGCGACACTAAGCTTAGCTTGGAATGAGCCTGTCTAAGGCATGGCCAGGAACCGGAAAATGGGTTTGCTGAGGAATCATGCAGACACTAGAACTCTTTTGTGGGTGCTGAGGGGACAGGTCTGCCGGGATTCCCTTTTGCCCTCTATGGTTGGAATAAAGTTGCTTCATGCCAGACACTGCCTGGCCCTGGCCCCCGATATCCGGCCACAGCTGCCTCTTAACCTCAGACCTAGTAATCCGAGCCCACAGTCCCTCCTCTCTGAGACCCAGGAAGTCACACGCCCAGCTCAGGGTCCTTGCAGCACCTTTAACTCCGGGCGGGGCCTGTGAGTCACCGATCCTATTGGCGGGCCAGGTGAGAACGATGAACCGCCCTCCTGAGGCGTAGTGAGACTCACGCAGGGTCCCCACCCAGCCTCCGCGGCCCTGCCCGCGCCCCGCCCGCCCTCGCGCGCCCCCTGCCGCCCACCTGCGTCCCACTAACCCTAATGCGCACGAAGGAGTCGGGGCGCTGCTGGCAGGAGCAATGTTTTTATTCTTAGGGTCACGGATCGGGACTTTCGGGGACTTGGCTAAGTTTGGGGCAGGAGTCGGGATCCGGGCTGGTGTCCTTCGAGGCCTTGTCCCAGGGGAAGGTCGGCTGCCCTTGCATCTGCTCGCGGTAGACACGGTCGAAGGTTTCGCTCTGAGCCACTGTGAAGTAGTTCTTCCAGTCGCCACAGACCCCTGGAGGGGAGAGGGGCCAACGACGGGGCTGAGGAGCTGCTGGGGAGCATCGCCCCCACGCCCTAGCCAGCATCCTCTTTGCCACCCCAATGGCCGCTGGGCTCCAATGGTGTCCCCTATTGGCCGGGAACATCGTTGCCCTACCCCTTATCTTTCAAGGCGCAGCTCGCAGCCCAGAGAGGTTAAGTCACCCGCCAGGAGTCACACAGCCCGAGCCTCCCTCACCTTTCCGGAGGAAGGCCCCTTGGCGGTTGTCCAGCAGGTTGGGGGGCAGCAGCGTGTAGTTGGACATGGTGTTGGCCTTCATGGCGCCGAAGGCCGAATGCGCCACGACTGAGCTCAGCGCCTCGGAGTCTAGCGGCCGACCCAGGAACTCAGAGACTCGCTTCACTGAGCCAAGGAGGTCCTGGAGTGGCAGAGATGAGAAGGATCAGGAAAGCCGACCCATCCACCGCGGAGAGAGGGGTCCCAACAGAACGGAGTCTGCTTGTCTGGGCCCTAAATCATGTCCCTACCTGCAAGCTGAGGAGTTGGATTTGGCCTTTAATGGTTTTTGCAGTTTAGATGTTTGGAGGGTTCTCTGGGTGGGAGAAGAACCATGGTGGCACAACAATTAAGTGCTCACCTGTTATTCGAAAGGTTGCTGGTTTGAACCTACCCAGCAGTACCATGGAACAAAGACCTGGTGAGCAACTCTAATAAAAATTGTTGTTAAATTCTGTTGAGTTGGTTCCGATTCATAGACACCTGTGTATAGGGTTTCTGAGGAGAGACTGGTGGGTTTGAAACCGCCGACTTTGCAGTTCAAGCCAACCTTGCCATCCAATTACAGGACTCTCCTGTAAAGGTTGTAGTTCAGAAAATTCCATGGAGCACTTCTAACTCTGTCACATGGGGTTGCTATGAGTCAACAAAAACCCGGTAGCACCTAACAACAGCTGGGTGGGAGGGAAAGGGTTAGGTGGGGTAAGAGGTCAGAGCAGGAGCAGAGGTCAACCTCCCAACCCATTTCTCCTCTGTGTCCACATCGAAGGATAACCCATGATTCACCCAGTTAGTATAGCCCAGAATCACCCCCTTCTCCTCATCAGTGCCTGGTCACCTCCTTCCTGCCCGGTCAACCCTTCTTCTCTGTCTCCAGCACCATAGCACTGGCTTAGGTCCCTCGTCTGGACCTTTGTCCAGGGGTGGATTATGTAGGGAGGCAGTGATGCACTTCCAGGAACCCTTTTCAGCTAGGAAATGTCCAGATGCAGCTCAGATGTCCCCTTCCTCCAAATAGCACCTACTGAGCATCTACTTTGTACCAAGCTCTGTCCCAAGTCCCTCAGGTACATTTGTGCACATCCTACCAACAGCCTTGCAGGAAGGGGTCACTGCCCCAACCCATGAACAGAGACCCAGAGAAGGTAAGACACTCGTCCAAGATCACACAGCTCAAGTTTGGGTCTCTGAAATCCATAGTCCTCCCCTGGACATTGCTGTCTTCCCTGATATGGAGTGCCCACAGGCCAGCCAGTGTTCCACAATCTGCCCAGCAGACAAATAAAAAATTCAAATCTATTGCTAATGACTTGACTTGATTTAGACTCCTGGAGTCGCCTTGTTTTACGAACTAGAACTGTTCCTTAGGGTTTCCTTGGCTGTCGTTTTTACAGAAGGAGACTTGGTAGTGGAATGCTTAAGTGTTTGGTTGCTAACTGAAAGGTTGAAGGTTCAAATCTACCCAGTGGTTCCAAGGAAGAAAAACCTGGCAATGTACTTCTGGAAAGATCACAGTCTAGGAAATCCTAGGGGGCAGTTCTACTCTGTCATCTGGGGTCACTTGGAGTTGAAATTGACTTGATGGCACCTAATAATTGTTAATGGAAGTAGATTACCAGACCTTTCTTTCACAGCACCACTGAATAGGTTTGAAGCACCAATCTTAAAGTTAGCGATCGAATGCAATCTACTTGCATTAGGGCGGCCTTCATTTTCCAGGTCATTCCTGGTTTCATAATACTCTATCACTTGATCTCCTTGTACCATTGCTGTGTCCCAGAAATTCAAACACACAGGTGGTGCCTCACACCCAGGGGCAGCCCTGTCGGACTGTGTGGCCCACTTTTGGGTTTGCAGAATAAAGCTTGAAGGAGAAGAGGGGGAGGGGCAATGCCAAGCCTTTTCTGTATCTTTCCATTTAAAATAATTTACCAGGATGGAAGAAAAATGAAAATGAGGTCATCAGAAAAAAGCTGCGTGCCTTTGGATAAGTTATCAGCTTTCTCCAAGCCTCAGTTTTCTCTTCTGTAAAGTGGGGCTATCACAACATTGTTGTCAGCTGCCATTGAGTTGATTCCAACTCATGGTGACCTGGTGTGTTACAAAGAAGAACTGGGTTCCATAGGACAAAAGGTACAACTGTAATCTTGCCTGTAATCTTAACAGAACAGAGCCCTGGTGGCACAATTCTCAAGCGCTCGGTTGCTAATGGCAATGTTGGCATTTCAAAAGGTCTGCAATTTGAACACAACAGCTCTGTGAGGGACAAGACTTGTTGATCTGCCCCCATAAAGATTGCCCATTACTCCTTGACCTCGAATCAATTCCGACTCATAGACCCCTCTAGGACAGAAGAGAGAGAGCTACACTTTGGGGTTCCCAAGGCTGTCTTCTTTATGGAAGCAGGCTGCCTCATCTTTCTGTCTCCTGGGGAGCAGCTGGTGAAAAGTTTCTAGCCGCCAACTTTTCAAACCACAATGAGGTTTACAGGTTAGGAAACTCAATGGGGAAGTTCTACTTTGTCCTGGTTGGTGGCAGTTATGTGCCATGGAGTCGATTCCAACTCATAGCGACCCTGTATAGGGTTTCCAAGCCTGTGAATCTTTACAGGGGCAGAAAGCCTCACCTTTCTCCCTTGGAGCTCACTTCGTGTTCCATTTGATCATTCTAACGAGATTTACAACTTTTCGTCATGCTAGTTAGTGCATGCTTCATAGACTACAGTCTAATGTCAACATAACTTTTCTGTACAATGTTGTTGTTGTTAAGTGCCATTGCATCCCTTCCAACTCATATCCATCCTATAACATAGAATTTCCCAGAAGCGGCTGGTGGATTTGAACCGCCAACCTTTTGCTTAGCAGTCCAGTGCTTATCCTACAGCACCACATGGTATGATTCACTTGATTGTGATATTCGCTTAACTGCACACTCAGTATCTCTGAGTCTGCCTATAATCCAAGCTCGGCATTTAGTGCTTGGCATTTGGCAGGCCTCCATAGGTGTTTGCTAAGTTATTATTACCACTGAGGTAGGCCCTAAGCACCATGGGGTATCCTAAGCCTCATGGAGTCCCTTGCCAAGTGGTTGCAATTGTGCCAGGTAAAGAAGTTGGTGTTCTTCAGAACCTGTCCCTCCAATCCTCACAACCCAGTGTTATTGTTAAGTGCCACCGAGTCGGTTCCAATTCACAGCGACCCTGTATAGGGTTTCCTAGGAGCAGCTGGTGGGTTTGAACTGTCAACCTTGCGGTTTGCAGTCCAGTGCTGATCCTATAGTGCCACACCAACTATTTACTAGGAGTTAGTATTTTATAGCCATTTTAAAGATGAGACTAATAAAGCCGGGATCTTGGCACTACAGAAAGCTACTGACAAAGGAGGAAAGTACCCCAAACTACGTGACACAGGGCACGTCTGGGACCTCTGGTGAAGAGGCATGCGCTGGGGGCCTCTCTGAACCTAGAATGGTTGGCCACTTTCATTGTGAAGTATTCCAGTTAGAATCTCAACCTCTCCCTGGCAGCCAAGTCAAGTTACAGTTATTCAACAGAATCCTTTCCTCCAGGGAGCCTTCTCTGATTGCTCCAGCTGGACGGAGACATTGGATGGAGTCCAGCTGGGATCCCAGTCTCACTCTCAAGGATCCCTCTGCCTTTCAAATCATCGCCACCATGAAGCGTGACTCCCAAGTGCCCTGGCTTCAGGTCATCACACCCATCTTGGCATCTCCCCTGTTCAAAGCCTGCCCATAGCTCCCACCGTGGGCCCCCTCTCCTTCGCACACTGGCCTCTTTGTTGTATTTCAACCACACCAAACACAGCTCTACCCCAGGTCCTTTGCATTTGCTGATCTGTCTGCTCATCTCTCTGGCCTCCTCCCCTCTCTCTTCTCCTTCAGGTTTTTGCTCACATGGCATTTTCAGGTCTCCCGGACTGCCCTATTGATGATCACACCTCCTCTTCCGTGACCTGCCTCCCTGTTTTATTTCTTCTTAGCTCTTTCCCCCAGCTTGTCCACTATGCTCTTCATTGCTTTCTTCACTGTCTGTCTCCTCTTTAGACCATCAGCCTCATGTGTCCCCAGGTTGTGTGTGGGTGGAGCCGGCCCAGGTGCCCTTCCTGGGAAGGGAAGCAGTGGGGGTGCATTGAGGAGTGTTGGGTGGGGGTGGGAGTAGGGGGCTCACCTGATGCAGCTCCTCATAGGTGATAAATAGGAAATTCTCTTTGCCCTGCATCCGAATCCAGCCTTTAATGTGGTCAAACCAGGAGCCGAATTGCACTGTGGGAGGAGGGGCTGGTGGATGAAGGCTGCCCCCTCTGGGGGCTCAGTGGGTCTTGTGCATTCCTCCCCATGCCCCTGGCTTGGTCCCTCAGAACTGGACACCCCTTCTCCAACACCCTATATGCCCCCAAATCCCCACCAAGTTCAGTGTATCTCCCAGCCAGTCCTCCTCTCCCCCCCCCCGCCGCCCCCCGCAGTTCTCTGTCTAGACTGTAGTGGTGGTCTGGTCCCTCCATCCACTTGGAGCCCCCTCCAAAGCCAGAGGGTCTGACAAGAACAGAAAAGAGGACATGTGGCTGAGGGGTCCAGCCGTTCTTAGCATCTCGTACCCCAGCTCTCTCTTGGCCAACATCTCAAAACCTGATCTTCCCCATCCTGAACCCCTTGTCTCCTTCCTCCACTATTTTCTGGAGCCAAACTCCCTATCCACCTGCCCCAGAAACAGTTTCTAAGAATGTGGTTCTGACTCCCCATCTCTCTCTTTCTGCTTCCTTTTCATTTTGAAAAAAAAGCTTTTAATTGTGAATTGGGTGAAAGTTGACAGAGCAGATCATCAGTTTTCCATTCAAGAATTCAGAGACATTGTGCTTGGTCTCACTGACTGCAATCCTCACCATGTACATACATCATTCATTCCACTTCCTCCCTGGGCTTCCCATTTCATTTCTCCTTCTTTCCTAACTCTTCTGAACTTTGTCCTGGGGAAAATGCTGCCTTTTTTTTTTATCTCAAATGGTTGATTGTTCTAAGGTGTGTGAATCCCATTGTGTTACTGTTCCCCTTACAGACCTGATGATTGTTTGAAAATTGAGCCATAGGGGTGAGTTCAAGTCCAGTCCTGAAGAGTGGCTAAGGGCCACTGTTTCCGGTTTCCACTAGTTTCTGTTTTCTTTTCTTTGTCTCTTGCTTACTCTAAATCTTTCTGTCTCTTCCACATCTCTGTATCTTTGCCTTTTAGTTTCTCTCGTAGTCTCCATCCCTCCCCCTCGGCCTTGATCTCATTTTCTCTGTCTCCATCTCTCTTCATAACCCTGATATCTTTGCTTATCCCTCTTTTATCTCTGAATCCTCCAGGGCTTGCTCTCACTGGACCCACATCCTCACCTTCACCGTTGAGGAAGTCCTGCAGAAACTGATCGGGCTTGCCGGGGTCCTTCAACTGTCCTGCGATCTTGGAATAATAATAGAGGGAGACAGCCACATCCCGGGGGTTCCGGCTCAAGTAGATCACCTGTGGGTGAATGTTGGCAAAGGGAAGTTGCCATCAGTCTCAGGCAGGACCCCAGCTCCTCTTGACTTCTCAGGGGACTTCCCAGCTAATGCTACTCAGATCAGATCAGTTCTTCCCAGCAACTGGGGAGAGCTCCCTCCAACCACATTCTAGGAGATTGTTTCTGAGGTGGGCTGAGGGACAGCTTCAGGGAATAAAGAGCAGGAGAGGAAGGAGAGGAAGGCACTGGTTCAGGATGGGGAAATCAGGGCATAAGGAGTTGGCCAAGAGAAACGAAAAGCTGGCTCCTCCTCCTCCTCTTGATCCCCATAGCCCAGTCCTGCCTGGACCCTGCCCCTAGTCTCCTCCCTGACCTCCTAGCCTCCACATAGCCTCAAAAAAGTCTTTCTGCGCCAAGAGCTGACTCTGCCCTTTCTTGGCTCCCCAGTCACTAGGTCTGACATTGGAGGCTTTGAGTCTCTGGCTCCAACGTCTCCACCAGTTTTACATTCCACAAGCCGGCCATCCTCCACTTCTCTTATACTCCAGCCTGCACACATTTCTCTCTCCTGCTCCAAGATGCAATATAACAGCTGGTCCTGGTCGCCCCAAGCCTCCCAGAAGCTCTCTGGCTGGGCCACCTCCGTAAGCATTCATCCTTGCTTTCTCGTGGTCTCTTTGCAGGCTTGTTTCTCCCCTGGAAGCCACTAGAGGGCAGAGTGGAGTCTCAGTCATGTTCCGTCCTGTCCCAGGCTCTATAGTACAGAGCCTGGTACACAGTGGGCTTTGAGAAATGCCTGCGGAACGACAAAGGCACCAAAGGAGGCAAAGTGGGCAGATATTGATGCAGAACATCCCAGGCAATAAAGAGAAATAACAACTTAGATAAATGAGGCTCTCTTATCAGACCTTGTCCCTGGCTGCTGAAGATGGTTAGCATGTGTTTAGTAGCCAAAGGGTTGATGGTTTGAACCCACCCAGAAGTTCCTCAGAATACAGGGCAGTTCTACTCTGACATACATGGGGTCATCATGAACTGGAATGGACGCGATGGCAACTGATAATAGTGCTGCTGATTCTCAGGGCTCCCACCCTGGTCCCCGTGTTGTTGTTGGATATTCTTGAGTCAATTCTGCCTCTTGGTGACCCTATAGGACAGAGGAGAACTGCTCCATGGGGGTTTCAAGGTTGCCATCTTTATGGGAGTAGGTCACTAGGGTTTTCTTCTGTAGAGCTGCTGTGTGGTTCAAACTGTCAACCTTTTGGTTCACCGCTAAGCACTTTCCCATCATACCTCCAGGGTTTCTTGTTGTAAAGTGCCCTCAAGTTGGTTCTGATTCATAGCAACCCTGTATAGAGTTTCCAAGGAATGGTTGGTGGGTTTGAACTGCTAACCTTGCAGTTACCACTATAAGCACCACACCAGTAACCTTAGTAAAGCATTGGTGGTGGTGATTTGCCGTGGAGTCGGTTCCGACTCATAGCGACCCTGTACGGGGTTTCCAAGGCCATAAATCTTTATGGGAGCAGAAAGCCTCATGTTTCTTCTGCTGGTAGTTTCAAACTGCTGACTTTGAGATTAGCAGCCTGATTCATAACCGCTACACTACCAGAGCTTCTTGGTAAAGGATTAACCTCATCCAAAGAAAGGCTTGCTTACTTGGAAGCTAACCTCTAAGCCCTTGGAATGCCCTGCCTGGTAACAGTGTCTTTGTTTACTGGGGACCTTGGAGCCCTGGTGACGCTGTGGGATAAACAATGGACTGCTAACTTCAAGGTTGGCAGTTCAAACCCACCAGCCGTTCCTCGGGAGAAAGGTGAGCCTGTCTGCTCATTTAATGATTTACAGCCTCAGAAACACTCTCTCTAGGATCACGATGAGTTGGAATCAACTTGACAGCAGTGGATTTTTTTCTTTTGGGTGGTCTACGTCAACAATGTGATTTATAATGGGAGCCTCAGGCCCAGCCCTCTGGAGGAGCTGGAGGCTGAGTTCAGTCACATGGGCAATACCAACCCCAAACAAAACCCTAGACATCGAGGCTCAGAGGAGCTTCCTTGGTTGGCAACACTCCATGCATTTGGTCACGTGACATGTCTGGGAGAATTGAACACTGTCCACACAATTCCACAGAAGTCCTGGTGGTGCAGTGGGTAAGTGCTCAGCCACTAACACAGCCATCAGGGGATGGAACCCCCACCAGCTACTTTGCAGGAGAAAGACCCAGCGATCTGCTCTTGGGAAGATTATAGCCTACAAAACCCCATGGGGACAGATCTATGTTGTCAAATGGGGCCGCTGTGAGTCAAAAACTGGCTCAACTATACTTCAGCGACAGGTGCAGAAGCAAGCAAGCACAGCTGGAGACAGTAGATGCCAGGTGGAGATCTGCAAGGAACGCCTAGAAGAATGCTAGAGAAGCTGGGACCAGGATATTCCCCCAGAGTGAGCCTTCCTCTAGTGCTGGCGCCTCCTAAGCTGTGTGAAGCAGCCCTGGTGGTACAACGCTTAAGCACTCGGCTGCTAACCTGAAAGATCGGTGGTTCGGAATGACAAAGATGAAGCCTTCATAAAGATGACAACCTTGGAACCCCTATGGGGTAGTTCTTCCCTGTCCTATAGGGCCACTATGAGTCAGAATCCACTTGACAGCACTGGGTATTTTGTTTAAACTGTGAGAAAATAAATTTCGGTGTGTGAAATCGACCTACTTGTGGTATTTTTGTTATAGCAGCACTAGAAAACTGAGACAGCCCAGTACAAGAGGATCCACTCAATGAATCTGTGCAGAGTCCATTAATTGATGATACTCTCGCTGCCATTCCCCCCCCCCCCCCCCCCCCCCACCCCCACACACACACTCTCCTTCCTCTTCAGCACCTTGGCCTTGGAGTTGAAGAAGGCCTTGGTGAAGAGCTGGATGGGGAGGTGTGAGCTCCGGAGGCGGGGGATAGGCTGGTCCGGGAGGCTGAAAGCGCCCATGATAGTCTCACACCAAGGTGCCCGCTCCCAGATGGGCACAGAGCGGATCCAGGAGGGATCCCCATCCTTTAGGATTAAGCTGACAATCTCAATCATCCAGTTGGTGCCTGTTGGGAGAAATAGGACACATTTATTGGGGTGGGGGAAGGGGCAAAGTGGGAGATCTAACTGGATTCAGAGTGACTATACTTAGCGAATCCTTGGGTGATGTAAATTGTTAAGTACTCAACTAATAGTGACAAGGTTGATGGTTCGAACCCACCTAAAGGTGCGTCAGAAGAAAGACCTGGTGATCGGATTCCATAAGGTCACAACCTTGAGAAAGCTCTGGAGGACAGTTCTACTTTGGCACATGTGGGGTCACCATGAGTGGGATCCGATTCGAGGGTCATTGACAATTGACAAAAACAGCATTTACTGAGAATTTGCCACATGTTGTATCTCATCGATTTCTCCCAACACGAGAAGATAGTGTTGATGATTCTCATTTTCAGAGCAGGAAACTGAGGCTCAAAGAAACCAAGCCACTTGCCATAGGTGACAAGACTATATAGGAGGAGGAAAGACTGTGAAATGGAACTGTCCATGTTTGCTGTTTTCGCTTTACCAGTAGAGGGCGCGCAGTGGTACTGATTAGTGGCTCGTCCAATTTAATTTCATTTTCCCGCTAGGATTACATTGTTGTTAAGTGTTGTTGAGTCGGTTTTAACTCATAACGACCCCACATAGGGTTTCCCAGGAGCCGCTGGTGAGCCTGAAGTGCCGACCTTGCGGTTCAAATCGACTATTCAATCCAGCGCATTAACCGCAGCACCACACCAGGACTCTGCTAGGAATATCATGGAACTCTAATTTCTAGCCTCTTCCGCATCTACGTGTGGGGCTACGTGTCCGAGTTTAGCCAGTGAAGTGTTGGTGGAAGCCATACGCAGCCATTCTAGGCTCATAAAAATCTCCCATGTGACCCACCACCCGCCAGTGCCTTTGGGAGTGGTCGCGCCATAGATGGAAGAGGCTGGTGGATTTCCCCCACTTCCTCCCACCCATCATGTACTGACTGGAGCTTGCAGGAATGGGAAATAAGCCACTGAGATTTTGAGATTTCTGTAGCATCACAGAGTTCTGGTGTGATGATGTAGGATAAACACTGGACTGCTACCTACACGATCTGTGGAGACCCAATACAGGGCCTCTATGATTCAGATAGCGTAGTGGTTACAAGTCGGGCTGCCAACCTCAAGGTCAGCAGTTCGAAACTACCAGCGATTCCGCAGAAGAAAGATGAGGCCTTCTGCTCCCTTAAAGATTTACAGCCTCGGAAACCGACGCCACGGCACTTAACAACAACAACATGGTTCAGAACTTACTCGATGGCACTTACCAACATGTAGTAGAGCAACTAACCTGTGAAAAACTCCAGAACTGTATCCATCCATCCCAACTCACAGGAACACTGTAGGGCACAGGAAAACTGCCCTATTGGATTTTCAAAGCTGTAATGCTTCAGGAAGCACATTGCTACATTTTCCTCCCAAAGAGTGTGGCTGGTGGGTTTGAACTTCCATCTTTTGGTTAGCAGTCAAGCGCTTAACCATTGCACCAAAACCTCAAAACCAAACCTACTGCCATCGAGTCCACTCTGACACATAACAACTCTATATAATGTTTCCGAGGCTGTAAATCTTTATGGAAGCAGAAAGCTTCATCTTTCTCCCACGGAGCAGCTGGTGGCTTTGAACTGATGATCTTGCATTTAGCTTATCCTACAGCATCACCAGGGTTCCTTAACCACTGCACTAGCATCCCTTTACACCATGGAGGAAGCTGGATTTGAAATAGACTCTCAGCTGTTGGTTGCTAACCAATGGCTTCAGGGGAGTAAAGATCTGGCATTCATATTTCAGCCAAGAAAACTGTATGGGGCACTTCTCTGTTATATACGGTTGCTATGAGTCAGAATTGACTTGATCGCAACATTGGGGGGAAGGAATTTCTGGGTAGCACAAATGGTTAACTGCTCAATGACGAGCTGAAGGTTCTCAGTTTGAACCCAGCCAGAAATACCTCAGAAGTATGATCTGGAGACTGCCTTCTGAGAGGATTGGTTTTGAAAACTCTGTGGAGCCGTTCTACTCAGACACACAGGGTGTCACCATGAGTAAAAATCCATTTGATAGCAACTGACGCTGTGGGTTATGTGCTGGATCACAAGGTTGGTGGTTCAAGCTCACCAGCTGCTCCTTGGAAATGGCTTATAAGGGATTGCTCTGGGTTGGAACCAACTCGATGGCACTTAACAACAACAAACATCAACAATTGAGGAGTAATTCCTTCATTCCTTTGGGGAGTCACACCACGTTGTGTGACTTCATTGATGACCCAGTTCACAGGTTTGGATTTCAGAAGAACACAGGCACGTCAAATGAGAAAATTTAATAATGCTAATTAGCAACATATTATTCCTATTAGAGTCTAACAGCCACCTTTGCTAGCTCCAAATCCCTTCTTTGCTCTGTTTCATTATACCAGAGAGGGCGTCCTGGTGTATCGCTGAGGGCTAATGCGCTGGACTGCAAAATCAGTTTGAACCACAAGGTCGGAGGTTCAAGCTCTACTTGGAAACCCTATAGAGGGTCGTTGTGGGTCGGAACCGACTCAAACATTAGCAAGAGCTGGACCATGTAATCGTTTTCTCCATCTGCCTCAATGCTAAACAGTGCCAGTAGAGGGCGCTGGAGGAACACTGAATGATAACGGGCTTTCTCTTCCGGGTTCCAATTGCTCTCTGTTCAGTAGGCTTTTTTTTTTTTTTTAACATTTACTTTATTTTTGGTGAAATTATACACAGCAGAACATACACCCAATCAACAAAGTTTACATGTATAGTTCAAGGATATTAGTTAAATTCTGCACGTATCACCGTTCTCATGATTTCTACCCACGTTGTTTCATGTTATTCATTTAGATTTGCTACGGAAACCCTGTACAGCGTCGCTATGGGTCGGAACCGACTCGACGGCACTTAACAACAACAACAACAACAACAACAACAACAACCCTTTCAACTTCCCATCTATGCTTTAGATTTACTGTTGTCAGAGTGCAATGCTCAAGACAAACATTCTTTACTATTAGCTAAATTGTTCAGCTAAAAGATAACCTCAGGGGATAGTTTTGGTTCAAGGTTTAAAGACTTTCTCAGGTCAATAGATTCAGGGGTTCCTCCAGACTCAATGAATCCAGTCAGTGTGGATTCCATCGAAATTTAAAGTCTGTTCCACATTTCTCCCCCCTTTGATCAGGATTCAGCTACTGAGTCCTTAAGCAAAACATTCAATCATGATTGCCAGGCACCATCCAGTTCTTATGGTCTCACAGCAAACAAGGCAGTTCATTGAAGCAGATAGAGCTGAAGTCCAAGTCCTTCTTCAACTACGGGTTCTCCTTCCTCCTCTGACTCAGCTGGTCAGCAGTCAGCAGTGGACACCCACTGGCACTCAGTCCCCACAAGTTTTACAAAGGACAACTTCTTGCTGTCTCCCCCACCCAGCCTGTGGCACTGTAATGAGCTTCTCCACCAACCCATTGGCCAAGATCATACCCTTTCCAATGAAATCTGCGTCTCAGACTTGGAGGTGTTCATGGGAGTTCCTTGTCCAAATCTCTTTCTTTCATGGGTGTGTTGTTTCAGCTCTAGGTGTAATAGTTGCTCCCTATTTCAGAGATTCCTGTATTCTGTTGTTGTTGTTGTTATTAGGTGCCATTGAGTCTGTACCAACCCACAGCGACCTTATGCACAGCAGAACGAAACACTGCCCGATCCTGGGCCAACCTCACTATTGTTAACATGCTTGAGTCCATCAATGCTGCCACTTGGCCAATCCATCTCGCTGGGGGTCTTCCTCTTTTTCTCTGACCCTCCACCTTACCAAACATGATATCCTTCTCCAGCAATTGGTCCCTCCTGACAATATGTCCAAAGTATGAGAGACGAAGTTTGGCCATCCTGGCCTCCAAGGAGCACTCTGGCTGCACTTCTTCCAAAACGGATCTATTGGTTCTTTTGGCAGCCTATGGCACTTTCAATATTCTCTTCCAACACCATAACTTAAAAGTATTAGTTCTACAGTCTTCCTTAATCACTGTTCAGCTTTCACATGTGTATGAGGTTATTGAAAACATCATGGTCAGGCGCACCTTAGTCCTGCATCTTTGCTCTTCAACACTTTAAAAAGGTCTTGTGCAGCAGATTTGCCTAATGCAATACGTTGTTTGATTTCCTGGCAACTGCTTCCATGAGTGTTGATAGTTGATCCAAGAAGAATAAAGTCCTTGACAGCTTCAATCTTTTCTCCATTGATAAGAATGTTGTTTATTGGTCTAGTGGTGAGAACTTTTGTTTTCTTTATACTGAGATGCAACCCATACTGAAGGAGCTCTGGTAGCGTAGTGGTTATGAGTCAAGCTGCTAACCTCACAGTCAGCAGTTCGAAACTACCAGCTGTTCCACTGGAGAAAGATGAAGCTTTCTGCTCCCATAAAGATTTATAGCCTCAGAAACCCTGTACAGGGTCTCTGTGTGTCAGAACCGACTCCATGATAGAACACATATTTTGAGGGGGGACACAAAGGTCTCATAGAGTCTCCCATAGGACTCGTGAAAGGGAACCCTACACCGATGGACAGCGAGATGGAAACTAGGCACCTGTAATCTCCAAGCAGGTCACCAGGTCTTTCTCATTGGAGCAGCTGGATGGGTTTGAACTGACAACCTTACGGTTAGCAGCTGAGAGCTTAATCATTATGCCAATAGGCCTCCTCTGTTACCAACTAACATTTTTTGGTTTTGTTTTTCTGATTGTGGTGAAACTAGACACACCAAAAGCTTCATCAATTCAACAATCTCTACGTGTACAATCCAGTAACACCGCTCACATTCTTTATGCTGTGAGACCTTTGTGATATCCTCCCCCAAATTGTTTTAGGAGTCCTGGGGTGGCGTTGTAGGATCAGCACTGGACTGCTAACCACAAGACCAGAGTCGCTATGAGTCAGAAATGACAAGCCAGCACTTACCAGCATTAACATAAACTCAGTACCTCATAAGCAAAAATTCCCCCCTTTCCCTTGGTGGTGGTTATGTGCCGTGGAGTCGGTTCTGACTCACAACGACCCTGTACAGGGTTTCTGAGGCTGTAAATCTTTACGGGAGCAGAAAGCCCCATCTTTCTCCCGCGCAACAGCTGGTAGTTTCGAACTGCTGACCTTGCGGTTCACAGCCCAATGTGCAATCACTATGCTACCAGAGCTCCTTCCCCTTACTTCCTGTTATTGTTGTTAAGTGCTGTGGAGTTGGTTAAGACTCATATCCACCTCATATATGATTTCTGAACCTCACCTTTCTCCTGCAGAGCAGCTGGTGGGTTTGAACCGCCAACCTTGTGTCTCACAGTCCAGTGCTCATCCTATCTATTAATAATCTTTCATTTCTATATACTCACATTTGCTTATTTCATATAAGTGAGATTGTATCGTATTTGTACTTTTGCAACTGATGTATTTCACTCAGCATGATGTTTTCAAGGTTCATTGTGTTGTGTGTATCAGGATTTTGTTTCTTTATTGTTGTTGTTATGTGCCGTAGAGCGGAGTCAGTGCCAACTCATATTGATCTCTGTACAGGGTTTCCCAGGCTGTAATCTTTGCAGAAGCAGAAAGCCTATCTTTCTCCTACTGATCGGCTGGTAGGCTCACACTGCCTATCTTGGTTTGTAGTCCAGTGCTTAGCCTACGAAGTTGCTGTGCTCCCCCATTTCCTTATTGTCATTGTTTTAGGTGTTACTCACAGCCACCCAGCGCATAACAGATCAAAACACCGCCCGGTCCTGCTCCATCCTCATGTTTGCTGTCACACGTGAACTCATTGCTGCTGCCACTGTACCGATCCATTTCACTGGCGGAGTCTTTCACTTCTTTGCTGACCCTTCACTTAACCAAGCATAATCTCCTTGTCCAGGCACTGGTCAGTCTCAATGTCTCACTATCCTGACTTCTAAGGAGCATTCTGGTTGTACTTCTAACACAGATTTGTTTGTTCTTCTGGCAGTCCATGGCACCTTCAGTGTTCTCCAATACCATGACTCAAATGCATCAATTCTGCTGTGGGCTTCCTTATTCACTGTCCAACTTACACACGCATATGAGGCTACTGAAAACACCGTGGTCTGGGTCAGGCACAGCCTTAGTTCTCAAAATGATATCTTTGCTCTTGAACACGTTAACTCTTAGGCTTTCTTTGGATTTTTAAATTCTTTTTTTCTGATTGTTCTTCTAGCATACTTGCATTGAAAGACTGATCTTCAAGCTCCCTAATTCAGGCTTCCATTGCTTTGAATCTGCTCCTTTGCCCTTTTAATGTATTGTCCATTTCTGAAGTCTTAGAATTAATCGTCTGAATTTCTAATTGCAGGTTTTGTATTGTTTCAAAAATTGCCTTTATTTTGTCTGTTTGTTCTTGTCATGTTTTCCTGAATTCTTCTCAAGCTATTTCTGTGTTCTCCTTGCTTTCTTTCAATCCTTTGAAAATACTTAAATATCATTCTTTTGAATTCTTTTTCTGTTAGTTCAATTACTGTTTCTTCCTCAGAAACGTTTTCTGTCTTGCATTTTGATCATTTGTCTGAACCATGCTCTCTTGTATGCTGTCTCCGGGGCATTGTGGGGTTGGTGTATTTGTATTTAATCAATGATGGTATGTTGGTGCCTTCTTTTGTGCAATGTTGTTTTTGATGATGACTGGTATGCCAGTCCTCTTGAATTTGCCATTCCTGGCATATTTAAAACTATATGATTGTCAAATTCACAATGGCCACTATCTATCCATTTCAGCTCACTAATGCCTAGGATATCAATCTTTATGCATTCCATTTCATTTTTATCAAGTTCCATTTTTCCTGGATCCATACTTTGTACATTTCATATTCGATTCGTGTCATCATAAGTCAACTCTACTTTGTTGTTAAGTGCCATCGAGTCGGTTCCGACCCATAGCGACCCTGTATAGGGTATCCGAGGAGCTGCTGGTGAGCTTGAACCTCTGACCTTGCAGTTCAAATGGCTTTGCAGTCTGGTGCATTAACCTGCAGCGCCATACCAGGACTCCACGTACCTATTAGAGTGGATAAAGACCAGTCTTACTAGTCAGAGACTGCTGGAAACTCCCGAGACTATGGCCCTTCAGATCTGGTAATAAGCTTACATCCATGGCAAATCGACAAATCTATAAGGGGGGCTATGCACAATCAACCATTTAAGATTGTTTAAGAATTATTTAAGCATAATGAACTGTTTAAGGTCAAAAGGGCAGATTGGCTCAAGGACAAACTTCAGAAGGGTTAAAAAAGAAGGAGAAACAAAAACAAGACTCACAGGGAGGAAGTGGGATAAATGATGTTACATGGAAGGGACTGCAATCACTGAGATGGAAACGAAGCGTGTGATTTGTTGACTGTAAAACTGATGCTCTGCTCTGTAAACCTTCACTCAATTCACAGAAAAAAAGTTAATAAGAAATAAGCAAGCAAAAACAACAACAACCTGGACTCATAGTGACCCCATGTGATAGTGTGAAACTTGTCTAAATGCTCCTGTATGGAAGCAAATTTCCAGGTCTTTCTCCCACGGAGCCTCTGGCTGGGTTCGAACCGACAACCTTTTGCTTAGCCACCAAGTGCTCAGTCATGTGCACTGCCAGGGTTTCTTGGCTATAAAGCATACAGGATTTCTTTGGGGAGGTTATAAAATGTTCCAAAATGGACCATGATAATGGATGAACAGTTCTGTGAACATACCAAAAACCACTGACTCGTACACTTTAACTAAATGGACAAATTGTCTGGAATATGAGTTACCTCTTAATAAAGGGGTTACCAACAAAAAGTCCCACAAACCTCATAAGCTAATAATAAGTGCACATCCTTCATCCAATCCCCACCCCCAAGCCTCTCTACAGTGCCCCCTTTCAGCCCCTCAGGTACCTGACTTGGGGTAGGTGACGATGAAGATGTCATCTTCCCTCACATCGGGGAAATTCTCTGCGATGCTGATGCTCTCAGGTGAGTAAATGCCCAAGGGGAAGGGAATGCCCTTGTACCAGAAGTAGTCACCTGGCAACTTCTCACTGTGGGTGAGGGAGAGACATCATGAGAACCAGGGAGGAGGTGAAGGAGGACAAGGGGCCCTGGGAGGCCCAGGAGTCTGCACCGGGGTGTCCAGACAGTGGAAAGTGTTAAAGAAATGTTACAACAAGTGAGGAAGGAGGTAGGTGAGGCAGTCCTCAGGGCTGCCCCATTCACTAGCAGAACTCTCTCCATTTTTGACACAGGCCTCAGTTTCTTTCCTGCAAAATGGGCATGAATGCACCAAGTTTGCTGAGGGGCAGCAGAGGGGCTGCAGCCCACATGATGGAGGATGTATGAGTGGTGCAGAAAGGAGTCCTGGGCAAGCGTTAGCCTGCTAATCGAAAGTTGAAGGTTTGAAACCACCAGCTGCTCTGTGGAACAAAAGATGTAGCTGTCAGCCTTGGAAACCCTACGGGGGCAGTTCTATACTTGACAGCAGTGTGTTTGGGGTTTTTGTTTTGAGGGAGGAGGTGGTACAAATGGTTAGGCGCTCGACTATGAGCCAAAAGGTTGGTGGTTGGGTCGAGCACTTTCCATACATTTACTCCTTGTCTGACCCAGGCTTCTCTAGGTGGTGAATACAGTTTGGGCTCGACAACTAACCAGAAGGTTGGCAATCTGACCCCAGCAGCATAGCGGTCTGCGTCCGTAAAGATTTCAGTCAAGAAAACCCCAAGGAGTGTTCAGTTCCTCTCTGTAACACATGGAGTCTGGATCAATCCAATGGCAGCGGTTTTGCTTTGTTTTTATTTTATTTAGAAACTTAACGTCATTTGAAGAATCCTGGTGTGGTGCTGTAGGATAAGCACTAGGGCTGTTAACTGCCAGGTGGGTCGGTCAAACTCACCAGCTGCACCTCAGAAACCTTATACAGGGTCACTGTGAGTCGGAACCGTCTAGAAGGCATTTAACAACTACAACATGCCATTGGGAAGAGAGTCTCTTTAAGAAAGAGTCAGTACGTATGACGTATAAACGTAGGGAGGGGAATGTGTATTTAGAAGAAGAAAATAAATCACAGCAACTTGCGTTTTAAAAGTGGACAAAACCCACAAACGTCTCAGAAAATTAACTGACTAGCTTCAGGCTCCCAACATTTTAAATCTTATGTCTTGTTTTCCTTCACCACGTGTTGTAGAAACGGGTACTGTTGTTCTTGTTTGTTGTTGCTACTAATTGCTGTTGATTTCTGACTTCCGGCAGCCCCAAGTGGACAGAGTAGAACTGCTTGCTCCACAGGGTTTTCACGCCTGTGACCTTTCAGAAAGAGATTGCCAGGTCTTTCTTCTGAAGCACCTCTGGACACGTTCGGACCGTCGGCCTTTTCACTAGTAGTGGAGTGATGAGTCTTTTGGGATACCTAGAGCCTCCACTACAGGTGTCATAAAAACAAAACCAGCTGCTGTTCAGTGGATTCCTACTCATTCCAACCCATATAGGGCAGAGTTAGAAATGCCCCATAGACTTTCCAAGGCTGAAATGTTTACGGAAGCCGATTGCCACATCTTTCTTCAACGGAGTGGCTGATGGGTTCAAACAGTGGACCTTTCAGTTAGCAGGGAAATGCTTTCACCATTGCACCACCAGGGATTTTACAGGTGCTATATAACCAATGAGATGGATTGGCCAAGTGACAGCATCGATGGACTCAAGCGTGGCAACGGTAGTGAGGTTGGCCCAGGATCAGGCAGTGTTTCGTTCTGCTGTGCATAAGGTTGCTATGGGTCGGTGCAGACTCAATGGCACCTAACAACAACAACAATATATTCATCACCACCAGTTGATTCCAACTCATAGCAAAACCCTATATAGCTTTTCTGAGACTGTAAATGTTAAGGGAGTAGACAGCCTTATCTTTCATTCTACAGAGTGGCTGGTGGGTTGAACCTCCGACCTTACAGTTAGCAGCCCAATGCGTAGACCATGGTGCAACTTATGATGCTACAAAGTGTAGACCATGGTTCAAGTTATGAGGTCCAAGGAGGGGATGTGATTTGGTTAAGACCATATGAGTACAGAGCAGAGCTGGGCTTTGAACCTACATTGCTGTGGTCCCTTGGGCCTGTGAGCAGTTTCTGTATCCCTCCCTAGCTCCCTCCCCCATGTTCCAGCCATAGTCCACATCGCCTCACCACTGTGATTCCTATTTCCTGGTCTTGGTACCAGACATGCCTGGTGTCAGGAATGTGTCTCCGGGTGGCCTGGCCTCTGTGATTGGACTGGGGTGAGGGAGCCCCACCCGGATTCCTGCCTGGTTGATTTCTCCCCGCGTGCTCCCAGGCAGGTGTTGTGGGTCCTTTCCCCCACCTTGTAATCAAATCTGGCCCCAGGGTGACTTCTCTCCCTGTTTTGTTTCCGTGCTGTGTGCTTGATCCTGGGCTGACAGGCAGCTCTCACTCTATTTGAGCTGAGTAATGAATGCACCAAGTTTGCTGAGGGGCAGCAGAGGGGCTGCAGCCCACATGATTGAGGATGTATGAGTGGTGCAGAAAGGAGTCCTGGGCAAGCGTTAGCCTGCTAATCGAAAGTTGAAGGTTTGAAACCACCAGCTGCTCTGTGGAACAAAAGATGTAGCTGTCAGCCTTGGAAACCCTACGGGGGCAGTTCTACACTTGACAGCAGTGTGTTTGGGGTTTTTGTTTTGAGGGAGGAGGTGATACAAATGGTTAGGCGCTCGACTATGAGCCAAAAGGTTGGTGGTTGGGATCCACTCGGAGGTACCTCCGAAGAAAGGGCTAGGAATCTGCTTCTGAAAGCCCCTAGCTTTGAAAACCCCGTGGAGTGCAGTTCTGCTCTGCACACGTGGGGTCGCCATGAGACAGAATATTCTCAATGGCAACGGAGGACAAGATGGCACATCCCAACCGGGTCCCTGTGCAGGGAAAGACTATTATTGCTGGTGTGACCTTGAGTTGATTCCGACTCAGCAACCCCCTGTGATAGGGTCAAAGTTGTTTCTAAGTGCTGACGAGTTAGTTCCAACTCACAGCAACCCTACACAGTTTCTGAGGAGCTTGTGCTTAGCAGTCCAATGCTTATCCTACAGCAACACACCAGCACTCCAGAGTAAACATGCCTCATAGAATTAGAGTTTTTAAGGCTGTAATCTCTATGGGAGCTTATTGGCAGGGCTTTCTCCTGAAGAGCCCCCTGGGTGAATTTGAACTGCTAACCTTTAGTTGACTGATGGTTTAACTTAGGGACTCCTAAATCACTTGTCTATAGACATCATTTTTGAGCTTTTCCACACTTCTCAGTCTTAGCGCAATCTGTTCCCCAGCCTTTCCCATCTCGCTGTCTCTGTGCAAGACCCAGTTCAGATGTCACCTCCTATATGCAGACTTCTTTGATCTCACCTCTCCAGGAGAAGGACCACAGCCTTCTCCAACCTCAAGGACTGGAGCTTGATACCCTCGACCCCTAATTAAGAGGCCTGACTCCAGTGGGGTGGTGGGTAAGGAAATTCTAAACCAAGGACATGCATTATCAGACTTCTCGAAGAATCCACAAAGTGGATACTTACGGAGGCCCAGAGAGGTTAATACCACTTCCGAAGGTCACACAGCAGCCTTCATAGGACACCTCAATAAGTAACTGTGAATGAGATTCCGCCCCTCTCCTGCACTGGGATTTGAGTTCATGGGGCCAGGAATGTGTCTGTTTCATTTATTGCTTTATTCCTAACACTTGGCACACAACAGATATGCAATAAACAAACTCATTCAAACCTATTCCCCAATTCAGAACTCCTGTTGCTGTTTTTAGGTACCATCAAGTCAGTTTCAATTCATGGTGACCCTATATTGGGTTTCTGAGGTTGTAAATCTTAACGGGAACAGAACGCTTCCCCTTCCTCCCAATGTGCTGCTGGTGGGTTTGAAATGCTGACCTTGTGGTTAGCACTCTATTGCTTATTCTACAGAGCCAATGGTTAAGCATTGGGCTGCTAATAATAAGACTGGAGGTTCAAACCCATCCAAGAGGCTCCATGAGAGAAAAGATCTGGTGATCTTCTCTTGTAAAAATTACATCCTTGTATTAGACAGGTCTCAATGGGCTAAGTGAGACAGAGGTAAATAATGATGTAT